CGGTTTATAAGAGTTAATTCCAAAAATCTCACTTTAGTACATTTTGGCGTTCTATGATGCCCAATGGGAATGCGATAAAATCGAAAAATATCCTATGCTACTTCTATCCGAGAGCACTGGTCGGCGACGTTTGTTTGCTTTATACTCCCCAGATGTAACGAATCAGCTTATTTTTTCAGCAAAAATGGTCACAAGATATTTTCCTACGGAACGCGCCTGTCACCAAGTGTAAAAGTGCTGTGAATCGCCCTCTTTGTTGGTGATCTAATTCCAGGATATGCATAACTAGCCTGTGGGTAGTACAGCGCCACGAGATAGCTGCAGGTAAGTTAGCAACACACTGCCATCATTTGTTTTAGAAATATGATGCTCCGTATGCGGAATACGCCATAAAGCGCAAATATAATGCTGAGAACCAAAGGCATTCACCTCGAATACTTGTCGTGACTGCTAGGCCCGTGTCTACGTGCGACGCCGATTATGAGGCCCTACTTGTGCATGGTAACCTAATCCGATGGCCGACAATCTCCAGTCATACTCATAATACTATTCGATTTCGCCTGACTTGGTTACCTACAATGACTGCCGGCCCATACCCATACTTGCAACTGACAATAAATACACAGCTCTACATAATGGACCAATCCAGCTGCCAACGGCCATCCCCCTAATCTACACATGTCGTCAGTCTGCCAAGCCCATGCCCAAGAAATGCACAACCACCCTTGACGAATCATGTTTCTATTTACTAGTTGCACCGGTACAGACGTAATGTGTAGTCAATCCACCTTTCGTTTTCAGGAAACCGCCTTCACCCAACAGGGTTTCTGAGAAGAAAAATGTGTGGTCGGTCATGACCTGTATACATCTTCCGTGAAATCAGTGAAAAGTCATAGTTAAACAGAGCTGTATTGGCTAACTTACCAAGTACTTATTTGATCCCTTTGTCCACAATTCCAGATCGGTGTCCAAGCTGAAGCTGGAGTGTTGCTGTTACAAAAGTTAACTCACTAGTTGCTCCGCTCTTTGGCGAAAATGAGGAGGTCATCGCTACATCGATCATTCGACTACGTGATTCGGTGACCACATGACGCAGCGAAGTTAGAGATAATCGGGTGCGTGTACTAGTCAATCGTAAGACATGTGGTATAGATCTGAGCCCTGAACTGCATGTGCCATTAAACATGCACACTGGGATATAACTGCAGCAAAGATTTAGTGAGCATGCGGGTACTTGGTATCAAATATAATGTGCCATTTGCACACTGGGATATAACTGCAGGAAAGATTTAGTGAGCATGCGGGTACTTGGTATCAAATATAATAATAATAATATTTAATTTATACTAGTGGGTAGCATACCGTCGGTCATGATCATAGTATTACAGTCAGAATAAAGGCATAACTGGTGGTGTTTGTGTTTAATGGGAAAAGGGAAAGTGACGTAAACAGTAAACCTTATTGGAGTAGAGTTTATCACACCTGAGGTGGCATGGGTAGAAATCCAAAATTACAAGGTCTCTTTATGTCCTATGGAGAGCATATCAGATAGCACAAGATCTTAACGTTGGGGTTTAAAATTGGTGGGCAAAGAAAACAATACAAGTGAGGGCATAACAAAGAGCTTCCAGGCTGAAACGTGAGAAAAACAAAAAAATTTCAAACTACAGGAAGTGTAGGGCCGGAATAGTGAATATGGAGATGCAGCAGAGCTGCCACGACATGGCAGGCCGGTTTGAACTAAAGTCCGGAACTGTCACTAGGGCTTCATGGCCTTGGGCTATGGCGGGTGGCCACGGAAAGGTATGTGGGGGTGGTGTAGTGGGGTAAAAATGTATTAAGGACAAACGGTAGCAGGAAACGCAGAGGTACAGTGTGCAGTGAAGCAATTCACTAGTGTTGCAGATGAAGCAGGGTCGAGTGTAAAAGTTTCTTGGGAAACGAGTTCACGCAAGCTGAGCAATAATTGACTCATTTGGTGAGGAGTACGAATAAAAGCCGTCGAGATCTTTACATCTGGCAGAAGGTTCGGCAGATTGAAATGAACGCCTTCCGGTGGTGGCCGGGGACAAATGAAGGTTGATTGTGGTTGTCGGTATGGGAACCAGTGAGCGAGAGGGCCTGGACAAAGTAAGAGGGGAACAATTGCGGGTATGCTATCAAACCGGGTATTCCAGCGCCGTACCATCACTGCACTGAAGTACTTCGGTTTCTGGACAGCCCCGTGGTGGACGTCGTGAATTAGGTTGTTAGGCTGAGATGTGCAGTCTTGTTGTTGTTGTTTTCCCTTTTATTTTCAGGTCGGGATCCCTTCCTTCGTGATGCACGAATCGGGTGGAGTTGACAACAGCCAAACAGATAGTCCATAGCGCGCATTACCACGGGTCGAAGCTTGGGGAGAAGATGAAATGAGATGAGATCAATAAGGTCTGGAGAGTTATAGGGGTTATCAGACAGGATATAGTCCTTTAATAGGGGAAAAAATGATCGTCTACCACAGTTATGGAAGGACATCAGGTGATTAAACAAGACAGGATAAGGATGAATCTGTACTCAGTAGTGTAGTCATCAGAGTGAAGCTAAGATTGTCAATATAACTATACTACCTGAGACAGGACAGTTTACTGCATGTGGGCTAAGAGGCGGTGTGGTGAGGGTAAACCAAACTCGTAACGACTGGGGGGTGTAAATTCCTGGGGGTTGTTAGTAAGAAGGACAATACTAGGACAATCTAGGAAGGAAGGTGGATGCGAGGGAGAAGGTCCCCAGTCCCCGAAGCACTACTATCAGCCTTAATCAGTGAGTGGTGCGTGACGAAGATTTTTCGATGCTATCCTCGGATGTTGATAGTGGAGAGTCGGGAGTCTAAATGTATGTTTATATGTGTTGTATGTGTCCACTCCTGGGAGCAGCAAATTTGGTTTGTCATTTTTGTTTGGTTGACGAGGTAGGTTTTGGCGCGGTGTAGCCTCGATATTGACGAAGGCAGCTACAGCAACGCACGTCGACGTAGGCCATGGGCATCGCAGAGTTTCTTCCGGCTATCCCAGGTATATTGATTTTTTATTGAATACTTTTGGACAGGCGAAAAGGCCAGTTTTTGTTATTGTTTATGGCATTGCCAAGTAGCTCAACCGACGCAAGGCCAACACCAGACCGACGCTCATTTAGAGCACCAAATTCCGATTTCACCGTACTTCTACTTCCCGACAGCTCCATAGTCTCCATCGAAACCATCCCGTACTCAACTGGAGTGGTAGTCTTGTCAGCTAGGGGCTCCTTTCTGGGAAACCGATCAGCTAATGCACTTGCGTTTGTGGTTTTCAGCATCCGATTTAATGTAAGCTTCCATATCTGAGGCACACTTTGTAATCTGCGCGGTATTTTGGGCTATTCTGCGCCCGAATTCCACGCATGTCATATGAATATGTCCCAATCCAACTCATTGTTTTTTCCGACGTATTGTAATCCGTCTTCACTTCCAATATCATGTCAACAAAACACCAATAGATGGGATACTAAGAGTCACACCTGATAGGATCCAACTCTCTTTGGTTGATCTAGCTGGAGACTGTGAGGCTTACTACACCTCTTTGCCCAGGAACAAATATCCCTTAATCTTTCCTCCGTAACTCAAATCGCCACAGCGCCACTATTCCTTTTTCCTCATCCCGACATAACATAATCAATGTCCTCGGTGCACCTTGCACGCCTATACCGTCTCAAACTAGCGAATGCGGCCCGAACCTTGCAGCTTTGCGCTCTCGCCTGTTACAAAATAATCAGGACTAATAGAAATTTGGGTGTACATAAAACGTTCCACAACTTCGTGGCCTCTCCCTGTACTGCGAGTGGCGTCTTCATTGACTGCTTGTGTAGGATCACGACCTTACATGGTGTAAAGTGAATTCCAAAGGACGAGATAATTTAGGTCAATTTATCCAAAAACACCCAGATGTTCTCTTCTTCCCGGAAGATGAGAACGATTTCATCTGGATATTACAGATTAACAAGCTTTTTGCCAAGAGTTGTTTGAATGTATAAGCTGGTATAAGCTGTAAAATCATGGTAATGCGAGGGTTTGGTTGGCATAAAATTCGTTGGCGGAACATGGTAAACCCTCCAAAGGTTTCTTTGCAGCGGCCGAACTTTCGATACCCCGCAAAATTAGCCCGAAACTTTCGAAAGCTGCCTACACGTTTCTGGAACCGATTCCCTAGTAAGGGAACTGGCAGAAGTACTAATGCAGGACGATGGGGGACCGCCTGGTTTAGTCACTGTCCAAGCAAATTGCCCGTCAGTTACACTTAGTCACATTAGAACGTCTATGGAAAGCTTTTTTGAGGCCGTGCATTTTGCATAGGCTTACTCAAATGAAGCTGACGTAGTGGGTCTATCTGCTACCAGTTGTTGTGTCTAGCAAACGCCATCCCGCCCGACCAATCTGAAATGTCGAAAATATTGTGAATTTAAACAGCCTCTAATTTTGAGGACGAAATACTTTTCATATACGCATGTATGGAGTGCCTGTAGAGTTTTTCACCAGTCATTGATTTCGAGACAATACGAGAAGCCAAAAATGCTTGATTCTGATTGATCCACACCCTGACCAATCAGGGCTCGGAGTCCTTTGGGCGGTAGCAACCTCGCCACGCATTCGTCCAACGAACGTGCTCGCAGTTGTATTGTAAGCTTTAGGAAGCCGGTCACTTTTTGGGTTCTGTGTAAGTACCGGTTGTATGCAACATTGGTCGCTGAACATTGACCCACTATAGTTCCTCTTGTATTGTGTCCAGAGGAGTCATCGTAACCTCATGTTTTTGGGAAATTGATTTTCCAACCCATCAGAGTGCTAGATGCAGCGAGGACGGATTTGAAATATATTTTTCCACCCACCAGCCAGATAAAGTGGGGAAAACTGTTGCCCAATAAAAGTGTACGCTTTGTTCTTGCAAATCTCCTTATCGGATCAACAATGAAGAACACGGCCAAATATTGCTAAAAAAAACGAAGGGAGTACCAGGTCACTTCGGAGAGGATGACAGTTTAGGAAAAAGAGGTAAAGGATTTCCGGACGTTCTCCTCTTCTCAGGTGTTCCACGCTGTCAGCCGTCTTCCCGACATCTTCGCTGAACACGTTCGATGAGGCTAATCCCCTCTTATGTCCTGGATGGGCGACGCAGTTGACGTACTCAGGATGCCTTCCTCACTTGTTCTGTTTGCCCCTGATGAAAAACAAACTTCGAAGGAAGAAAAGGGTACAAAAATAGAAAATGAAAAATACGACCAGTAACTCCTAGTTATTGACACGTATTCATCCCTACAATTACCCTCCCCCAGTCAGCTGTAACACCCTTTCGGTGCCTAGCTGCCATGCCACCCGAAAGTTGCAAGAGGGCTGGGATACTGCCAGGTTGTCCAAGCCTAGACAGGAGAAGTCGACAATTGCCCATCTCTCTACGAGCCTCTAGAGGATCAATCCGCCTGGTTATCCAACTTTTCCCAAGTTTTTTATGTACCGCCAAGAAGCTCTTACCCAGCTAGATACGCAAGGATCTTGTGGAATCCACTCTGACCTGGCCTAAGGTGCCGCACTAATCTGAAAGGAAGATTACCTTCCTGGTTCCTACACGTTTCGGACTGGACGAAAAGTGTTCGAAAAGATTTCAGCGCCAATGTTCGTACCATGCATTGCGTTTTATGAGCCTTGGGACCAACTGATCTCTTTCTGACGCAGCAGGTGACGCAAATTAGAAAACGTGATTCGAGAATTTGTGTGAAAGAGGGAAGGGAGGCGTCAGCAGTACCGCGTTTTCGCCCATCCGTTCTCTTGTATGCAGCAAGTAAGGCAACCCGGCTGGCGACACAACTCGACGGCCGATATGGCATGAGTTCATTTGTATGCAATTAATGGTTTAACCTGGGCGCCCACATCCAGGCAGGAGGATGATCAAGTTCAGCTGTAGCACCCTTCAGGTGCCTAACTGCCATGCCACCCGAAGGTTGCACGAGGGCTGGGATACTGCCAGGTTGCCCAAGCCTAGACAGGGGAGGTCGAGAGGCAGATGTCGGGTCGAACCACAGACCTTCCGGTCTCTAAATGCGCGATCTAACCACTTGGACCATCTCGCCCCAGGATGATTAAGGCCCTCAACCGAAGACTTTGGCTCAAAAGTCTGACCGTGAGACATTGGTATTTGACTGGAAATGCAAGTGCATTATCATTTTTACGGAACACGTCGCCACACATGTTCCATTTCCAAACCCGGAGAATCAGGGGACTGCGTTCATCAGACTTCTGACCAACCGGAATGAAAGACTGCGGGTGTCGCGCGGTTTACGAGGTACACAAACCGTCTCACCACGGTAAGGTTCAGTCTCTTCGTGACCAACGGGCTTTTGAGATTCGCTCTGACCTCATCAGGCACACTTCCGTCAGAGTTAGTACAACTACCGGGATAGATAAAATTCTGCACTACCTCTAGTGCTTCCGGAATTTCAAGGGGCATTTTCGGACACCACATCTTGAGGCATGAATTTGAACTTCCTAAGTGCAGGATGCATACAGAAAGATGATACGGTGTTGGTAGATAATACTACGGTAGTGCAACCTTGACAGGACCCGATGTTCGTCCGGAGACCTGTACCAGGTGTCTTCTTCCTTGTGAGTGATATCTTAATCAAACTACAACTGCAACTCTGTAGCAAACATTTCACACAATAGGTCTTCGTCACGTACACGATATGATGTCTCGGCGACATCTAAATTTGTCACATCCACTCCAACCGTCGATTGATGTCCATTCTTCATTGGAGTTCAGTAAGTGAGACGTAATATGTGACGACAGAAGTTGTGCGCTGCATGGAACTGCGTCACGTGTTCTCGGCATACTGCCTTACTTCATCGTCACTGAAGGACTCCATCGCTCTCTGTATCGCCGGAAGCAGGGTGGTTAGCCTGTAATTTAGTGTTGTCACACCGTCTTTCTACATCTTATTAATGATGTGTCACTAACCACTGGTTTTTCTCGCCCAGGTGTTCCCATCTGGAAAGAGGGCGAGGATACACGTAGAATGGGGCATAACTGTCTGGCTTCTAGTGAGGCTGCCCACAGTAAGCGACTTTTAAGCAGCATCAAGCTCCTTAAAAGTATCCTGACCTTAGTGAGTAATGTGCCGGCGGCCACAGTCATCCGTTGGGCGATCGGAATGTGATGTTTGGATGGCCGAACTTTTCTAACACGTCCTTCCTTGAGGGAAGGTAGCATCACTGCTTCCGTTAGTGTGAGATTGTTGGTCGCCCGGAGGGAACATCTTACTGCCTGTGCACTTCTGTCACAGAACATCCTACGACTTTACCTCCAGCCCGCATTGTAACAGTTTCTCACAGTAAGGTGACTCCGTTTTGTTCGTCGGGCTGCTCCCTATTGGCCTTCCTGGTAATCCTGAACCACGACCACCATGACAATGTGATGGCTTTAGGCTAGACATATGGACAATTATCAGTCCGGTTACATTTGATCTAGATTCAGACATACAAACACTGCATGTGAGGTTTAGCCATTCGGCTAAACGATGCAGTTTAGCATAATCGGTAACTTCGATCAAACAACGGTTGATGAGCTTCAAGTGCTACAGAGCCAGTCAGCTAGTGGAATAAGTACGATCTAGCACATCTGGGCTTTTAATGATATGTGCCAAGTGCGGCGGGTAATATCTAGAGCTCACTTAAGAGGATTCCTTGCTTTGATCACGTCAGATAGTGAGTATTTAGGACTACAGACAGTTTACAGGTTGCAGAGCTGTCGGCCATGATAGTATTACACAAAATTTGGAAGTAACTCCGCTGCACATCTAATCTGCTTAATGTAGCCGATCAATTTACATTCCATACGTAACCGATCGGGAGTTCTCGATGTTCGCTGGTACACCCTTTTTGATGTTCCGAGAACTGTTTCCCTTCATTATCATCATCACTGGTAGAATAGCTTCGCTATTCAACACTGATGCTCTGCTGCCATTCCTTAGTGAAAGTTAAACAATTGAAGACTCTCTTATTCACTCCAGCACTTTGGCCAATCATTCCCAGTGATTATCCTGATTTCTGACCCGACGGTTCAATGTTACCAAGGTCCTGTGGCGTGATATTACTTCTGATTTTCCATGCACTTGGCGTTCCCGTAGTCCCCAAGAAGAAGCCAAGCGAAGAAGTTGTAAGTTCCACCGTTTTCCTACCGCTGTCGCATACTCTGTGTAATATACGTATGACTATGAATGTCCAAGTCATTAAAAGATACCACGCCCGGACAACGGATAAAGCGGTACTTTTGGGGATCTGACACCATTTGACCAAACAATACGCTAATGGGTAGTGTGGTCTTGCGGTGAACCTGCAGGTGCAGTTCGATGTTGTGTTTCGTATTGCTGCGCATTGTTTATCTATGCTTTATCATAGATGTATTAATACCCGTAGACCTGTCGTGAACAAGTCAAGTTTTGGAAAGACTTGTGTATCAGGGTGATAATCTTCAGTATACGAACTATAATAATACGAATTACACGAACTATAAACAATGTATATGAAATTTAAAAGCCGAATGGGGCGTGTAAATTTGCATCCACTCATGATCCGTAGGCTCAAAGAAGTACCGTTTCCTACAGGTAAGCGCTGTTTAAGGAAAAGTGGCAGTAGTGAGCAAACATGAGGTTGAATTTCACCCAAGCACTGGGAGCTGTAAGTGTTGAGCATCCAACAGGATTCTTAGTTCGGCGAGCATATTCCCTAGTGTTCCACTACGTCTGAAAATATGCCTCCAGAATTGAGACGAGATAGCAGTCTTCCTCCGGTGGCTTGGATGATAAAAGACTGAATCAGCAAATCCCGTGTTAAAAAACCACAAAGTAAGGCTACCGGGTGTCTGAGATCACATCGTGTGAGTGGGGGTAATGAGCTGTATGTCTAACTAGGTTTTTCACGTTTGCATTGCTGTCTGTTAGTTAAAATGTCACATGACTTCCTGGATGATGACTAGAAGGTCCTGACAGGCGGGTCAGTTGATCTACATTACCAAGACAGTCACTGGGTCGTCGTTCAAGGCGTGGGGCAAACCGATCACATCGGTCAAGCGTTAACACGCTCTCCTGTCCAGACGTAAAAATTCAGATATGTCCACTATACCCGTGTGGAGTAGTGTTAACATGCTCACCTCACATGTCAGATATCCGTATTTCAAACCTCGGCACGGTCAAGAATTTAAAATGCCACATGACTTCCTGGATGATGACTAGAAGGTCCTGACAGGCGGGTCAGTTGATCTACATTACCAAGACAGTCACTGGGTCGTCGTTCAAGGCGTGGGGCAAACCGATCACATCGGTCAAGCGTTAACACGCTCTCCTGTCCAGACGTAAAAATTCAGATATGTCCACTATACCCGTGTGGAGTAGTGTTAACATGCTCACCTCACATGTCAGATATCCGTATTTCAAACCTCGGCACGGTCAAGAATATGCACTGCTGATGATTTCTAATAAGAGCGATCCTCGAGTGCAATGCTTCCCCTCTTTGAAATCGACTCACGAGGATAAAAGGATAAGAGGACAACTGTTTAAACGAGATTAGTTTGAACGCGACTTCTGGAAATCTACTAACAACCGACAACTGATCTGTAAATGTTTGGTCGGAAAATTTGTGGACATTTCACAGATGCCAACTTTAAACTTGCCAGTTTCCAACAATCGGAAATTTCCTCAGTATCGGGACTGCGTTTCGCTGACGTGAACTTGTCCGACTTGTCCTAATTACTTGTGAGCGTGCCATAAGATATTTCGGTTTGTCCGGAGTGGACTTCCAGCTGTTGGGTTCTTTCATAGGCCAGTTAAACGTTCGCCCCACAATGACGCGTCTTAATAAGGGGTGCTATGAGGATATCAGTTTAGTCAACTATTTATCAGGACAAGATGAGTTCACTGGTATGGTGCTAAAGTATACAGTGCTAGGCATTACACACCGCCACGATTTTCACATAACTACAACAACTATTTTTAGCGAGAAACTTCTAAATTCCTTCATGTTACCCTTTCTTGGTGTATCCACTGATTTACTCACTTATCCTTCTGTTTAAGCAGCTCAAAAAAGAGTTGGGTGAAGCTGACTTTCAGGAGTTGCATCGTCAGTTGGCAAGCGAAAGGCTGGAAATGGTAAAGAAGTATGTGCACCTGAAACCCGAAGAGCGTACCGAATATGCCAAAAAGGTTAAAGAAGAGTTTCTCAAACGAGCGCAACATGAAACTGTCTACGAACCGGTTAGTTGGCATTCTTTTTTCTGATGAGAATTGCGAAACGCGGAACAAATTTTCGCCATTGTATCCCTATATGGTTTGTGTGAATTCGGAACTCAAATAAGTTCAACTCGTCTGTAAACTGGGTACCTGCAGCAAATTTGATAGTTTCGTTCTCTGAATGGCGAAAGGATAGGCCTATACTAGACACAACGGGTATTTCTGTCTTACGATGGCTAAGGACTTTCACGTGGATAGTTATGCTATTTATATGCAGTCGAGATGATGATGAATATACTTTAGGGAGACCAATTTTTTGCAAGGTTGCCGTTGATTACCAAACTAGATTACCTTTTAGTGACATCAAACACCAATGTATTGGGTCCCTGGTTGCCCATTCATGGAATCCGAGATGTTGGTCACGATTTTCATAATTCTCTGTCAAATCATACACTGATCATCGAATCGTCCGGACACCATTTTTCCACAAATAATTCGGCAGCTTGAGACCGCTCGGTGATTAAGGCGCGAACTCACTGACCGGAAGGTCCGTGGTTCGAACTCAGCTTCAGCACCTCGACTGCTCCTGTCTAGGCTTTTGCAACTGGCAGTATCCTATCCTTCATGCTTCCTTCGGATGGCATGGCACCGGGAGGTGTTTCAGCCGAATTAACTCCGGACATTTCAGGCCTCTGATATGTGTATTATTTTCAAACTACTTATGTCGTGATTCTGCGTTCTACGTTTACGCACGATGACCGATCTATGCCACGTATCTTCTAACATAAGGTTACAGGTCTGCTGAACGACGTCAGTGACATAATACCTACTGACAAGATAAATGCTATCAATGCATTTTGGGGGCTCTCGGTGAGGGATGAGGGATCAGCAGCGGGTTGAAAGTTCTATTAATTTACCGGCTACCAACAGCTGAACAACGATGAACACCAACTCACATCAACCAAGTGGCCTGTCGTTTTATCAGTTGAACATGTTTTTAGTGACGTAATTCCATGTCGGTTTTTTCCTTCAGGATGATTTGAGACGATACCCCACTTACATCAACCCACACGAAACTCAGTAACGTGGTAATTCGTTTGTTGAGGGCTGATTGGGGAAAATGAGGCCGTTACACATTCTTGCGTTTTCCATCCGTGAAAGTGAACCCGTCGTACTAGCAGGATTTGTACTTTTTTTGCAAGGGGGGATTGGAAATCGTCATAGAGTTATGTCAACCACTGCCTGACTGGTGTAATCAGAAGACAAACGAGCGTTTTTCGGATGCCGACTCTAGTAGGAAGTGTGATTATCCTTGGAAGCCGCTGCCTTATCCTTCTAGTATCCCTTTCCCCTCTAGCAGTCCGAATTTCCGTAGCTCTAAAGATCCAGTGAAAAGTTTGAATGGATGCATTAGTACTGCAGATTCGTTTGTTCACTGTATCAGCAACCACTTCTGGGTCTCGTGTTAGACTGGTAGCCTTGCGAGGTGGCTAATCAGTATGGACTTAAAAATCCATTGTATCCGACCGCTAAAAGTCGTTCTTATCGGACATTATCCTGGAGTAGTGCAACGTCGTTCTGACATCATGAGAACACGCATAAAACCATTCACCGCAGATTTCTAGTGCTAGATGAATTCGCTTTTAATCACGGGATAATAGTTTCGCTGGTTGAAGAACGATTACTGTGCGAACATGCTTGACAGTATAAAATTTAAACAATTACTATAGACTTTCTTACTCGGTTTCTCAGTGAACATGAAGTTGTAACTTGCGAAACAAAAACACTTTCATTTCTTGGCAAAAGATTTTATCTGGATTTGAGTTTGACTGTTTGACGTGGTCAACTATTGATAAATATGAGTGTAACAGCTTGATGAAATTGGGTTGGCTACTTACAATTGGTTGCCTTTGCTAGCTGTTCGGTAGCTACTAATTCCAATTTGGAGCCTCAGAAATGATCATATTTTCCGTTGGACTTCAGGGTAGTCAACCGCAACTTCAGGAAGTCTGGCGCGACGAAGATCTCATGGACGATGACTCGTATTCACCCAACATGCTATTCAAAAAGCATGGTAAGTGGATGCTCTCTCTTACTGATGTTTCCTTATTATTGTCATTGTTATTATTAGTTACTTCTTAGCATTAATTGTCAAGGTACCGTATCATGTCATAGCTGTATGATAACCATTAACAATGAGCCTCGGAATCGTGTTTACTTGACTATAGTGTAGGGCATTGTCAAAAACAAAACCAGCACGTGTGAATTGGCAGGTGATTGCCACGCGTTTTCTGTCTATCCACTTGTCGAATTTGTGTCTACTTATCTCTACCGACACCAGTAGTTCAACGTTTTCAGCGCACTAGGATATACGCATACTTCTTGTTTTGACCGTTCACTTGAAGATGCCGAATCCTCTATCTTTGTGATTGCTGACTTCACTATCTTCTTAACTGTAGAGTTTAGTTTCACCAGATTCTTCTGTCGGTTGTGCGCAAGACTGACTAAGAAACACTTCTCGCTTTGGATCTGTCAGCGAAAAATGTTAACTGTTGTTTCGGTTGTTTTACTTGACGGAGGTCGGGTTTCGGATTTCGTTTCTCGATTTTATATTTCTTTCAACGGGCAGAGTACATGGCAGAGTACCTCGTGGTGATACGACTGACACACTGGACAAACGGTTTTCGTTTATGTTTCGCTCACGTTAAACAGAAATTACATTGGCATACAATTTGAAAAAAAAGGTTGAATGAACAACCACTGGAAGTTTACGGATACAATATAGACAACAGGCCCGGCATATGCTCGAGTTGGACACATGTTCGTAGGACAGTGTTTTTCAGGGAAATGGCGGTGGAAGGCTTTAATGGGGAACCATGCTTATTTAGGATGCATCCTGCCTCTGTAGAAGTGTGAGTTGTCATGCACACATGACCAGTTACCTGTTGTAGCGTTCTCGTGCATGACATTGTTTTCATTCATCCTCGCTTGCTGATTAGGTTCTTGGATCTCAATTCTTGCTTATGGGTAAACAAACAAGCAGGTATTTGCCGACGCGCTTGTGTTGTCTTAAATTTCCATCCCCATGCACAATTGATTTTTTTTGGGTTGGACATGAGTCCAAAGCTTACATGCTCACGATAAGCTTTGGTAAGGCTTTCACTCTCTCCCATTAGACTAGAGGCTGGTCACCCGCAGTTGGCCAGATGTGTGGGAACGCTGTTCACCGGATAAGCTGCTCCTCCTACCTCTTGATCCCCTTTGGTGAGCTGTGTCACTGAAAACTCGTCCCTCTGTCCTTCTCGGTTACCCCGCTAAGCGACAATCTCTCTCTGATGCCATCTGAGAACAGTTCACAGCATATCATCTAGTGCCCAATGAACTCGAGATAGCTCAATAGTTAAGGCGCATGCCTATTTATCGGGAGATCCATGGTGTGAACCTAGCCCCGGCATCTCGACTGCTCTTGTCTAGTCTTGGGCAACCGTCAATCATCTCAGCTCCCGTGATTCCTTCGGGTGGCATGGTAGCCAGACACCGAAAGGGTGCTACTGCTGAACGATTTTCATTTTATTATTAGCGCCCAATGATGTCAATATGCAAGTGTCGCGTACAGTAGATGCGATTCAGGATGCTACTACGAGCCACCTGGGAACCATCCTACTTCACCAGAAGGTTCGAATCTCGCACCGTGCCGTTACCGAACCAGGCTAAGGAGACGAGCTGCCAAATTCCCTAAACTAACGCGCACTCCACTGCCATGCAACACATTCCACCAGGAACTACCGAATTTACCGCCCCACCAACATATCGACCAGTACGGAGGCCTCGTCCACATATGTATATCGTCAGAACTCGTATTGCTCCTAAACCGCGCCAAGAATGGCGTTCTCGTCGAGTTGGTTGGCCGAAAATCTGGATCGATACTGCTATGACCGATAGTGAACGTCTGAGTCTTACGTTCTATGGCCCAAGTCACAGTAGCCAACACGGTGTCAGTATCTGTGAGACGTTCGCCACCGACCGCTGCATCTGAGTTGATGTGATTCGATACATTCAAGAAGCCGGCCCATCCTCATGCAGATAGTCGAAGTGAGGTAAAGCAAAGTAGATTAAGTAGAGCAGTGATCGCCAGAATGGGTCGAAGAAGATTCGATCTCATTAAAGAATAATTCAAACCGAAGCTTGTGCAGCGGTTGCGGAAACAAACACGAACTCTACCTTGGGCACAACTTTTTCATTAAGTCTCCAACGGCACAGTTAAAGTAAGATTTCAGTGCATTCAACCCGCTCTTTTCTGAAGATGGAAATTTGACTTTTTGTGAGTAGCTTACAGTCTGGCATTCGTAATCCGGAATTCATGTTCTGGACCAATCCATTGTGCCAGCTCTTTCTTTTCCACACATCATTATACATACATACATACATCATTATACAATACAATGGTTTTGTTCATATAAATCGAGGAATGAAGGGTGGCAGCATCGACCATATGCAGCCAAGGGGTAGTTAAACCAAAAAAAATGATGATTGCTGTTCTTGACGCTGACCTGCCAGACCGCTGCAGTGATTGCTACGTGGTTGGGGCAAGTCCCCTGATTCTCACGCTTACACGTTGTTTGCTCCTAATCCGTTTGGTAATTTAACCTCGTCTCCGTTTACCACAGACTTGAATAATGATCAATTCTTGGATTCACATGAAATCAATGCTTTGATTGAACATGAAGTAAGTACAGTCTACGAACTATACTTATTTACACACTAATTTATTTTTAATGAGCGACTCGACTGAATCCAGTGGAATCACTTGTTTACGATGTTCCGTTTAGATAGTTAGATTGTTGCAGCTGTTTTGGTACCGACGGATCTAAGTAGAAATGTCTGGCGTGTTGCTTTCAGTGAAAATTCCACCCACTAGGGTTTTCCGCCCCATCTCCTCCTGGAATTCTTGAATCGGTAGTGCTGGGGACCTGGGCTATTTATGACCTCAGCATGGCTTCACATGGTCAACTTACCACGACTGGAACGAACGCGTTGTTTTCGGTTCCTCCAACCTCGGTAATTCGTTCGCGTTACTTTCGACTTTTGTCCGCGAACTTCTCATCTGATCTACGTATGGCCTTTCACTATGAACTTCAAGATAGCGACGCAAAACCATGTCAGACAATGACAGAGAGGTCACGTATCAGGAACATGACAGTCCACATTGTTAATGTGTACCATTTATTACCTGGTCAATGTCGGTTCTCCGTCGCACCACACGAAGGCCGTTGATGTCCTGTGAATAAACAATGTAGGAAAGATGGCTATGATTGATGCAAGTGACAGCTTCATCCAAAGGTAACTATGCACAAATGGAAATACCTACTTTCAGAATGAAAGGCGAGCTCGCTCTCTACACCAATTTGTCAATAGTGTCCCTTGTTCCCTTGTCACATCACACCCTCAAGTCAGGTGTTCCTTCGTCCGCTTTGGTAACCCGACTTCTGGTCACTACATCCCAAAACAAACTGCTGGTCTTTGTCTGCCTCTAATACCGCAAGGGTCGAAATACGATAGGTAAAAGAAGACCTTCCCCCCACCGAGAAAAGCCACTTGATTACGCTGCACAGGTTACTCTGATTAGGACGCGTATTTCAAACACCAGATTACCATCTACCTCGCAGAACCCCCTTTGCTCAGCAGGGTGCTCAGTGGAAACAGCCGAAAAGCGGACAATCTCTGAACTCTAAAAGCCCGAACCAGTTGAGTTGGCAACTATTAGCTCTTTGAATAGATACGCAGGGACTCGAAACACTGACGGTTAATGTCAACCACAAACAGGGCTCACAGTCAATGACCTGTCTGCATCAAAGCTTTGCTTTCAGTGAGTACCCTCCCGATTCTCCGCTTAATCAAGCAACTGATTGGGTCGCCGCCTCCAATAGCTGCAAGTTCCTGATGAACGAATTTAGTGGCTATTGAACCACGTGGCCTTTGTATTAGGCTAACTGAGTTGACTTGTTTCTAAGGTGGTTTGACGGTCTTAGTGGTCGGTCCGTCAGGTTAACTTCTCACTGGTTTGAGTCCAACCTCAACTACGGTCTTCTGATCGATGCTTAGGTGAGCTCTGTCCTTGAACTCCTGTTTTTGCGCGGTGACCTTTGCTTACGAGACCTTAATGGGTATTCTTGTCTCTTACTCATAACCAGCTCCGTTGGATCAATCCAGCTAAGTGGCCAATTTGTTGCACACACTAGTGCCTAGTTAGGACCCATTTCGACCTGGAAATTGGTGCTTTCAAGAATACTCCTGCCTATCTTGTATCTCCGCGCACCAATATTTTTCCACTTGTTCAGTCCAATTTGTAACACTTGGTCTTGGATAGTGGGTCATGGCTCCTGATGGCTGTATAATATTCATTTAATGCGAAATTCTCTCTGATCATTTTATACAAACGAATGTGGTTTATTCAGCCTTCAAATCAGTTTTCACGCAGTAGCCACCATGATTCCACTTTGACCTAACAATCTTGCTCCGAGTTGTGACCTATTACTACTTCAGGGAGTGACTTCGCGCTTGGTTGTTTTATTCTGTCGAAATAGTTTTGGGGATCTTCTTGTGACTCGTTGGGTGACTGCTGTTGTAATTGACTATCTTGCCCACACGTGTTTTTCCCCCGGTATACATAAGTCTCATTAGTTCCATCAGTTCGTCAGTACGTCGATCTTTGGTAGACGGTTGTTCAGTTATTTATAAGTAGTGCTATTGGACAATTTTCGCGCATTTCGCACTGAGTGTAGTTTTACGGTGACGAAGGGGTCGTTTGCATGGTGGGTCTATAATTTGAAGTCGATTGTCGGTAGTTTTTTTATGACAACCTGTGTGATAAATCTCGATATCGAGGGTTTCTTTTTAGTCTCTCTAGTTACCCAAAGTTAAGGTGTACATTCCCACGCAAGTCCAAAAGCTCGCTGGTTGCCCGTATGCCTTGGTCGGGGGATCGACCGTCTTTAATCTCTTTTTGCGATCGCGTTTATATGAAGGTGAAACGACTGGCAAGATGGAGCTTCTGCAGTTTTGACGTCATTGGCCTTCGTTTTTCAGTCACTGTCGGATGGTTATCTCGTGTGATGCTGACAGTTTCCCTGAGTGCCCTGCTGATTTGATTGATGAGGTCTGAAGTGGTGTCACGATCGACTCCTAGGCAGTTGTATCATTCAGCGGTTCTTTGACCTTCTTATTATAGTTCGACTGTCCATTACCACTGTGATGCGTCCATTTTCTGCCGATGATATAGCTGCCTCTCCAACAAACGTTTCCCTTCGGGATCGGTTGTTTCATTACCTACTGGAAGATATTGCAGTTTGGGGCAACTCCTAAAAATCCCACTCAGTTTGCTCAAAAGCCACGTGGATGTCGGTCGATAGAAACACGGGCTGATGAGTCAGCTAGCAGACTGTCAGCCATGATCGAAAATCGGTCTTGGCCAGAATCACACAAACCCACACCATCATTCGACGCACAACTACAGACGGAACGCTCCACTAGGCTACACAAATGATGATGCCATCGTTGTTGGTGACGAAATGGTGCAACCAAATTGCTCAGCTCAACGAGCTAACGACTAACAACTGATTTGAACCTTAGAAAAAATTCCGACCTTAACGAGTATACACCGCATGCATGGTTCACTTGTAGCCAGCTTAGAACCCAGTAGTTTCTGCTATCCAGACGTGTGAGTTGATACTATACAGCGCAAAGCAGCTACCAAGAAAAATCAAAAGCATAGTACTGTAAGGATTTTGGACAGGTAGCGCACTTGTCAAGGAGGGGGATTGAAGTCCAGCGTGCCATGACACAAGGATTTCGAGCCTTTTTCAAAGCATAGAAAAATCACACCACTGGTAATTGTGATTGTGGTTTTCTCTGTGGAAGAAGTCCTCAAGAATGCTCATATTGCTCTTGCTTATTGGCACGGTGTTGTAACCACTTATTTCGTTTTCTGGCTACGGCAGCGTCAATCTGTGTACGGAGGCCTGTGCAGGTGAGTACTCCCCATGTCCTTGCGTTCTATCCGCCTCATAGATGGCCTAGGTGATCTTTTGGTACGCACTGCTTCTTGGAGTTGGAAAGGCAGTTATCCCTAGATAGTTAACGAGGCTCAATGGGGTCGACAGATTAAGATAGATCCGCTTGATTGGATGAGTGAAAGCAATTTCCGAATACAAAAGACGTGGTGTTTCTGGCTTCACGCATAGGATCACTCTTGTGTTTCTTCATGTTGATATAGTGCTAGTTGAGAGAAAGTGGACTGAAACGAATTTTCTGCTTTGTTAGATCGAAAAAATATATCCGGCCAACGAAACGGGGCATGAACCTTTGAGAAATATGGAAATGCGTCGGATGAGGTCGGCATTATTGGAACGTATGGATCACAATCATGATGGAAAGGTATCACTCGCAGAGTTCCTCTCTCCTATGCAAGATTACGACGACGATGATGAATGGATGGTGAGTGCACACTTGTTCTCGCCCTCTTCTTTCTGTTTTGTTGCTCTTCCAATTTTCCAGACCAGAATGCAAACTGTTCTCTTGCCCGAAGCACTGTGTCATTCACATTCCACAAACAAGTGGACCCCAAATCACCTCTCTGTTTTCCCCGATCGAAGATGTGTTCTAGTTGTTTGCTGATAGTGACGTGAATTAGGCTTGTCAGTAAAGTCCAAGGGTCCGTTGTTCTGCAGTTGGCCCCCTCTACTACTTCAATGTTATGAAGTTCGACAGTTGGAAGTTCTGCTTCCCTTTAAATGCCGATGCCTTAAAGCAATGAGCACGTTTTCTACAGGGGAGAATGTCGGTAGCTCAGGTAGCGTGGATGGTCGTTGGCTTGTTCACTGAGCTGGGCAATTTGGTTGCAAACGTTTCATCACCAATCGAGGTGACATCATCAGTGCGTAGTTGTGCGTAGCGGTGGGTTAGTGGTTTTGCGTTCAGTAGTGTTACGTGTGTGTTGATATACGACGTGCTGGTAGCCGGGAATGACCTTTAACCGCGATTAGTTATTCTGTCGGGCGGTTCCATTGGTTGTTTTTTTATCCCGTGTCCTCATTCGCCGATGCCCACGTGACCTTTGAACTTGGCGTCCCTCGCCGTCGTAGCTGGGCAGCCAAATTGCCCAGCTCAGCGAACAAGCCAACGACCAATGAGCACGTTTCGTGGGAACACCCAAGTAACATACTGGAATGGGACGAACGTTTTTGAAAGGTTTGACATGGCTGCACCGGCTACACTGGCTCGGCTACATTCTTTTCATGTCAGGCGGAAGAATATTCCTTCGTTTTTGTTTACTGGGACGGGACCTGTTCTAACTGAAACGATGCACATGGCCGTGAAACGAAGTATGCGAAACTGAGCGACTTTTAATGGTTTGTCTCATGCCGTCTGAAAGTTTGAAGTGTCAGAGTCCCACCCCCTTCTACTATCAGTGGTTAAAGCGCGAATTTACTGACCAGAAGGTCCGTGGCTCGAACCCGACCTCTGCATCTCGACTTCCCCTGTCTAAGGTTGGGCACCCTGGTAGTAAACCAACCCTAGGGCCTGCTTAGGGTGACATGGCAGTTAGGTACCGTGCTAGAGCTGCACGATTTATTCTACTAATAGTAATCGTTTTCCCAAAGGTGCGTTTGTTACAGTTGTTGCAGTTCTGATATTTTAGAAAGAAAATCAATCATAGATGATAGGGCAGCCTTGCATCGGAAGGTATTGATAAAACTAGCTATTTCAACGCGGATGTAATAAGGAATGGGACAGTTATGCACTGAATACGTTACGGGTTCTCGGCCCAGGCTGATAGCAATGGCTGACGTACAGAAACGAGCTTGTATTACAGATGTTAACGATTTTCGTTCGTGTAGTTCACCTCCGACTTTCGCTGCTACCGCCACAGTTGTCCTTGCTGCTGGTTCCGTTGTTCGTGGGATCGTTGGACTGAATTCACATTAAATCTTTTCGTAAAGCTTGAAATTTCTCATCCATCGAGCATGGGCACGTGTCATGACACATTCTGAAGTCCACCCCTCTCAAATTTGGCGTCTATTTAGGGAGTTGGGTAAAGCTTTCACCCTGATTGGCCGCTACGATGCGGTCAACTTGGTCATCTGGAGCCACCGTACTTGATGGAATGTGGAGAGATGCAGTATTCCCTAGGAAACGAACAAACGAACTTTCTCTGAGACATTAATCTTTCAGAGACTTTTGGCTTTCACCCTCTTTTCACACTGATCTCTCTCACTGTTGTTAATTAACTATTATCTAGGATTTGCTGATGTTCTTCCTCAAATAAATTTACTGACCGAAAGGCCCGTGGTTCGAACCCGACCTCTGCATTTCTATTTCCCCAGTCTACCCGTGGGCAACCTGGCATTATCCCAGCTTTGGTGCTTCCTTCGGGTGGCGTGGCAGCTGTGCACCTGAAAGGCGTTATAGCAGAGCGATTATTATCTTATTTGCCAGAATACTAATACCAATATGTCTAGGGATAACGGTGTAGTTTAGGAGTTCGCGGTTGTTGAATAGATAGTCTTATGCACTGGAGTGATTTAACGCAATAATAATAATAATAATAATAATAAAGTAATAATAATAATAATAATAACAATTAATACGATCAGGCCTGTTCTACCAATACTTGGAATGAGGTGGACGTACAGAGGGCTATGAAATCAGCAACAAGTAGGCCAAAAGTTGTGCTCTGTTGCCGGTACAGTATCGGAGGAATAAAACTGAGTGCAATTTGTGCGAGGTGCGCAGATTGACCGGGAGTAACTTTGCCTGTGTTTCCCTCCCCCGTTTCTTCATCATTACTTCCTTCTCTTGGCTGGCATCAGCAGAGGGAGTAATTCACAAAGACTGCAATTGGTGATCGTACAGTGGTGAATGTGAAGAACTAATTCTTCCACGCTCATCTGGTTCAAAGATGGAGGGCCACTTGTGCTATAGACGGTAACAGAATGAACCGTTTGATGCCCATTTTCTGTCATACCCTTCATTTAAAAAACACGTGAAACTATGGGGAAGTACTCGTTCATGAGTTAGGAGACCCTCCGTAAAAGACGAATATTTGATACTATTCCGAACTGGCCATCGGGCGTAACAAAGCTCGGTTTTTGGCAATGCTATCTAATTACAGACATGTCACTCATTTTCCAGTGAAAAAAAGTCGGACAGTGCGAAGCAGATTTTCGAGCTCGCTTTTTGGAGACATTACTCCAACCACCACATCAGCAACCTTTGCGAATGGCCTATTTATATCCTCCATTCCGTTGAGTGTTCCAGGAATTTCAGCGAAACTACAGTGGTCTTAGATAAGGATGCGAGGCTCTTTTAGCTGGATGCAACCATATCCTACCGAAGCCTAGCGTCCTTCAAAGACTTGACTTCCGGGATTGCAGTTCAGGCGGGCGAACTGGAATTGACCGGCGTAATCAGGCAGTGATCAATTACTTCCAATAATCCTTACAAGTACATAGTCTGTGTCACTGTCGTGGTTCTCACAAGCTTAATTGTTTTCTCGATTACCCGTAACCTAAAATGTCTGGGTGTTGATGAGATTACAGCGTTTTCACTCCGACCTATTTTTAGAAATCCAAAACTACGGTATTGTCTTTCATCCATGCTGGGAACCAACAGTAATGTGCACCTCACAAACCGTACTGTGGTTATGCACTCACAAACAGACCGCTGGTTTCATCCTGACCGATGGTATGATCACTAATTTTAAATATTGGTTCAAAATTTTGGCCTCTGCCGCAAAGAACCCTTTCTTACGCTTTGCTCTTTTCATTTTGGGATTGTCCGAATCTGAATTTGCCATTTGAGGTTTTCGTTTTCTCTGTTGACGTTCTTTTCTGACTCCCTGTCTTTTAGCCTCTCGAGGATCTCCAGGACGCACCTGATTTTGAGAAGAAAACCGATGACAAATATGTGCTGGACTACGCGAAGCAGCAACTTGAGCTCCACCCTGTAAGTTTCCCTCGTCGAGTTTTCGGTTTGGTTAGCTATAGTGATTAGACCAGTTTGCATTCGCATAGTATTGACGTTTTCTTCCCTGAACTACATTTTGACATCACGGAGAGATACCGTTGTTCGTTTCCAGCTCCACTAGTTCTCGAATCTCGCCAAAACTACTCCCAAAATGTTGAAACCTTCGGTAGCATTTGGCTTTCGAGGGGATGTTACTTCCAACAACTAAGCGTATCCACTGGCAGGAAAAAACTGGTTGTCTGTTTAGCGTTCTCTGAAGTGGGTTATGTAGTAATGGAGAGACGCAGAACATTAAAAAACGAACGCACGAACATTATTTCCATATTTGCGTTAGTAGCTAGGCTCGTACAAGTACCGAGCTATTTTTCTTCTTTGGAGGCGTGATGTGTCATCGCTTTTCTGTACCTGGCAGCTCGAGTATGTCATGTTTTCCTAGACTAGACTCTATCCTTACGCGCACATACATCTGGCACCTGGGCATGAGTTGGCTTCACTCCATTAAATTCGCTGCTTCCTCTTATGCCTAAGCTGACCTTCTTAGGCAAGATGACTCAGTGGTTTGAGCACGAATTTACTGACTGGAAGGTTCGTGGGACACTGCCAGGTTGTCCAAGCCTAGACAAGATCAGTCGAGATGCCGGGGTCGGGTTCGAACCACGGGTCTTCCGGTCATCACATTCGTGCCTTAACCTCCAGCTCAAGTCTCAGAATATTCCTTTACCATGTTGTCTACCGGACAGCAAAGTGCTTTGCTTCGGAGGCATGAAGCGGTCAGACCACTTTACAAACAGCAACACAACTACCTGCGGAATGCGTTCTGTGATATTTAGTGGTTTGCTTGTTGATTGTACTGAGTCAGCTAAATGCATCATCAAGTGTGTTTGGCAAAGTAATATTGAAGCTATCGAGGTCTGATGGCTTTCCACTGACATTCTCTACGATGAACACATAGAGTGTTATATTGTTTGCCATCTGTTTAGACATCACGGAGAAGTGCTCAAAGTTTCTGCCCCCGAAATATGTCCAAGCATTTTCCACAACAGCACCATTTACATTCGGTTGTGATTGACCATTGTGGATCTCATGTAGTTGGTCATCAAGTTTTTCTAGATGGAGGTGCGAAGCTACTGACCAGGACTTTCTTGGTTCGAACCCAATACTTTATTTTCGATTTTCATTGTCCAGGCTTGGGGAATCTGGCATTGGCACAGTTCGCTTGCCTCCTCTAAGCTCTACGGAAGACGGAAAGTGCCACTGCCGAACTACTAGGTGAAGTTAACATGACCGAATTACTAGCAAAGGATAAGCAGATGAAAGACATGAACTGTCAGTTTGGCGTGTAGCCAACAATCTCAAAAGCATTACATTACACCTAAAAAGTACCTGATTTATAGAAGCCTGATAGGTGTAGGATCTGATCATCCAAGTGAAACACCAGTTTTAAAGTAATTTGACCTGCGTTCCCGTGAAAAGTGAGACACCGGGGTGATGTTTGTTTGTCTGAGTGTGACCAATAAGAACCGCATTACAGTTTCTTCACCGAATCGGATAAGCGTAATGTAGAATCATCTTCATTTAGTATGAAACCAGCGCTCCTGATGTTCGCCACTTCTTCGTATCTATGTGGTTTCAAATAAATCATGGCTGTACGACAGCGAAGCACCGGTGTTGAACATTGATTTTACCCTTTGGCTAATGATGAACCTTTACCCGCCTACCTAAGCTCGAATAAACGAACACATGAGTTAATTAGTTATGTTGATGTATCCTCAGGTTACAATGATAACAATCGTATGTAGAACCCGATAGTGATTGTGCGTTGTTTCATCAGCTCTGCTGCCTTCAATCGATATTGCGGCTGTGAAAAGTTCCAGTGTATGTATCCAAAGTGAAACTACCAGCTATTCAAGTCGACCGATGAACGGGTTACTGTATCTGCTGTATCACGTGGTGCATTTTGTGGAGTAAGGCTAAAGACCGATTGTTTCGGTGCCAAATTTGTGATGATCTGACGAAATTACTCAAATCTTCATAAATGGATTAACCAGTTAGGAAACAAACTTGTAAACTCATGTAAGCCTGGATCTGTAGATGGTCAGGCAAGTCAACTAGACTCGCCAGTTAATTAGTGTTATCGGGTGAACGAATCAAGATCTTCCCCCCGCGCTGTGCTATTATATAAAGTTGTGTTGACAGTTCGATCAATAAATATGCGTAGAAAAGTTGGGCATTGCAACTGGGGAGGATAACCAAAAAGCGCTTATCGATGAGCCGCTGCAACGGGAACAATTCTATCCCTGCAAAATTGTTTCCTCAATGACAGTGTTTCACCATCGAGAGTACTGTAATTTATAATTTAGAGGGTAGTTGCGGCGCTTCAGGATGACTGTCTCTCTTACAGAACACCCCACCCACCCTGAATTCTATTGTTTGTCTTGAGTTTAGTTGTCCTCTTGACCACTCGGTTGACGCTGGAATGCTTGTCTGTTTAATGTGTTACCTTCACTAGGTTGGCGTCAAAGTCGGTCCACGGCAAATATGACCCAATATGGTTGCACTAGCTGATCTACCTCTTGTTAGTTCGCAAACCTGGTCCGCTGTTTAGCCTATCACTGGTCGATTGGTAGCACCATCCACCGAGTTGATCCAGCCAATTGGCTAATTTTGGAATCCTCAGCGTAACTCATCACAGGCGCGGATGATTTGAAACACGCGAGCGCTTCGTGAATCGCGAGCTGCTGCTGATTTCCAATAGGGATGTAACAGCTCTTTCGCACTTCAGCGTAGAGTTGCTTCATTTAAAAAACGAAATATCAATTAAAAAGCCACAATTGTAACCCACTAACCTTTGAGAAGGGAATTGTTTCATCTCATTTTATCGCACTTATGTGCTGTGATACATCTTGGATAAATCTACTGAACAAATGAATGAATAATCGGTTGAATAAGTGACCAATGTTTTGGCGAACTTGAACCAGAATACGTTGGTTTGATGTTGGTTTGGAACGGAAAATATGCTCATCTTTTGTAGCTCCGTTCACCCAAATTTTTTTCAAGCGTGTCCAAACATGCTTCAGAGAATGCCTTGCTCCAGCTAGCCTGATTTTACTTTTTTGTTTAAGGAGGACCATGACTTGGAAGAAGCGATGCACGTGTTGAACGGTGTGAAAGGGATACCGGATCCATCTCACAATCCTCCTGACTCGGCCAAATCGTACTTTGACATGAAGCCTTCTAGTGGTGGTGGTGCCGCTGTCCAAAATCCTCCGCCCGTTGCCCCTGTCACTGCACCGAATGCTGACCAAACCCCTCAAAAACCCTCATGATGAGTTTCCGTGTTACTTTACTGCGTCTTTCATGCTTCCTTTGCAACTTCGTTCAAATCGATGGATTGTCTCTTAATGCATTTCCTGTTTCGATGATTGTCGTGGTGTATCGTTCTTCTGTATTTGATCGCTTCCTGTCACTTTATCCGTCATAAATACACAATGGTCTATTTTTAGAGCTTGGCTTCCTTCGGGTAGGGATTAATTACATTGAACTTATAAGGAATCAAACCGCGTGACTTCATCTGTGGGATAGGCTACTCCAAATAATCTTTTGCCGTTTGAGCAACAGCCATGAAGTCATCAACTTGATGGTTTATTTTCATCCGATTTGATGGAAATTTTGGGTTCAGTCCTGATGCGTGCTGACTTTTAAGATTCATTCGATCGAGCTCCGCACACGCTTCAAAAAATTTACTGCATTCTGTTTTTTCGTAACACTGCTCCGGGTGTTTACCTTTTTTGACAGACTGGTTGAAATTAAGTTGGGCAGAACTTTCGACGACAAAGAATTCCCTGGGGCGCTGTATTCGCTTTCTGGCTCGGAAGTCATGCTAATAGAGTCAGTAAAGCGAATTTGCAATTCCATACTCATCTGTCCCTGGCTGCAACAACATTGCCTGATTGAACTCTTGTGCAATCATCGACACACTCGGATCGGGGATTCGCATGCTTTGGATGGTTACGGGGTTTGCGGAATCGATGCTCACATTGGTCAAAATTGTCCAGCACGCTCCAAAGTGTCCGTGGTGTTACCTAACTGGGACGTCTTGACAGGCGGTCCAATCGATCAGCACAACCGGACGTTTACCGATTTGTCGTTGGAGTCATCGGGCCAACCAGTCACATCACAGTGTGAACATGCTCGCCAGTTTAGAGGTGAAAATTTCTGATGTACCCAACATGCGCTGGTATAGTCATGGTAATACGCTCACCTCGAATTTCCGGATTTCAAACCCCAGCACGGCCAAGAATATGCATTGCTGACGAGTTCCATTAAGAAGAACGGAACGCGAGTTCAGTGCTTCCCCTCTTTGAGGTGAACTCACCAGAAAAGGTGGACGGCTGTTCAAACTAGAGTAATGTGAGCTTGAATTCGCGTTTTGCCAACCAAATTGGATTCTTTATCATTAATACACCATGTCGATGAATAATCACCCTCATTGAAACAGACAGGTCGTTCAAATAAGTGGTCCCGATTTTCCAGTAGTTGACCACTAAATTGAGAGCGAGATGGCCCAAATGGTTAGAGCGCGAATTCACTGACCGGGAGGTTCGTGGTTCGAACCCGACCTCTGCTTCTCGACTTCCCTTGTCTAGGCTTGGGCGACCTGGCAGTATCCCAGCCCTCGTGCAACCTTCGGGTGGTATGGCAGTTAGGCACCGAAAGGGTGCTACAACTGGACTCCTAAACTCAAATACCGTCGCCCAATGTCTTACGTAATATTGCCAGTTGCAAAATATGGGCTGGAACTCAAATGCACAAGCCTGACTAGATGACGTAGTCTGCGTTTTACTGGTTGGCGCTCATCACTAGTTCATAAATTATCCGCATAACACTTCTTCATTAATTCGACACGGTACACTACTCACAAGGTTGCTGAAAACCCTTCGATAGCCTCCCACAG